GCCAGGGAGTGTAGGCAGTTTTGGGAAGACAATGCCTTTCCTTGCCTACAGTACCTGGGATAGCACGCACAGCCGGGGCAGGGATGCATGTCTCCCAGCTTGGGGACACACAAACAGACAGACAAACTCTCTGAAATATATAGTAGATAGTTGTCTCTTTCTCCACTCCTACTCCCTGCTGGCCCAGTGGTGTTATAGCTGTCCCCGCTCTCATCTCTGGCCTCTTGCTGCCCTCCTGTGGTCATTCTACAGAATAACTCTCTCCTACTAGACACCTCCCTTTCCATTTTATGAGAAACATTTGAATTCCAGACACACCGCATTGTCCTGACACAACCAAACCCTGACCTTTCTTTGAGTTAGGATATGTGGAAGAAAAAGATTGACAAGTATTATGAATTACACTATATAATGCATGCTAAAACTTAAATTTGTCAATAATTTATAAATAAGAACCAAATCCTGCTTTCTTTACTTATATGAATATGCCCATTGAAATCAATAAGATTGCTTACAGGAATAAGATGAACAGCATTTTGTGCTGTTAGGCTAAACACCAAGGTTCTGATTCTGTGTAAACCATGCTAGTGGTACCTGGGTATAAATCCAGTAACTTCATTGAAATTACTTCTGATTTACATGCGTCTATATAAAAATCAGGCACTTAGAATTATAGTTATGTTCTCACAGTTGCACTTTCCTTTTTTACTGCTGTTGTAAATCCAAATTCTGCTACATTTTTTCTCATGTTGAGTAGCCTGAACTTATTGTATAATTAGTCTTAATGCATGTAAAAGTGGAAGGGTTAGGGCATCAACCTAAGAACATAAGAATGATTCTATTAGATCAGACTAATAGTTCTTTTAGCCTTGTAGCCTGTCTTCCAAAAGTGGCTGGGAATGTGTAAAACAGGGCAGTTTATTATGTCATCCCTGTCATCCAGTCCCAGCTTCTGGCAGTCAAAGACATAGAGACACCCAGACCACAGGATTGCATCCCTTTCTATCTTGGCTATTGCTATTGATGGACCTATCCTCCATGAACTTCTCTGTTAATTTTTTAAATCTGGTTATCTTTTTAACCTTCACAACATTCCACAAATTGGCTGTGGGATGTATGTAGAAGTATTTCCTTTTTGTTTATAGTAAACTTGCTGCATATTAATTTCATGAGGTGACCCCTGATTCTTCCATTATGAGAAGGAGTAAATTACATATCTCTACTCACTTTCTCCACACCAGTCATGATTTTATTGATTTCTATCATATTCCCCCTTAGTCATCTCTTTTCTAAGATGAACACTCAGTCTTTTTAATCTCTCCTTGTTTGAAAGCTGTTCTTAATCTTTAATCATTTTTGTTGCCTTTCTCTATAATTTTTACAATGCTAATGTATCCTTGTTTGAGGTGGGGCAACCAGAACTGCATGCAGTATTCAAGGTGTGGGCGTATCACAGATTTATATAGTGGCATTATGCTATTTTCTGTTTTATTTTCTATCCCTTTTATAATGGATCCTAACATTCTGTTTTTATTCCTCCTGCACTTTGAGTAGATTTTTTTTCAGAACTCTATCCACAATGACATCAAGATCTTTCTTGAGTGCTAACAACTATTTAGACCCCCATCATTTTATAAGTATAGTTGGGATTGTTTTCCAGTGCACATTACTTTGCATTTATCAACATTCAATTTCATCTGACATTTGGTTACTTATATATGCATAGTAGTTACAGCCATGTCAGTGTCAGGATATTAGACAAGGTGAGGGATGTGATACCTTTTATTGGATCAATCTCTGTTGATGGGAGAGACAAGCTTTCATGCCACATAGAGCTCTTCTTCTGGTCTGGGGAAGGTACTCCAAGCATCACAACTAAATGCAAGGTGGAAAAGATTGTTTAGCACATTTTGTAAGGGACCATTCAAGGTACAGTGGCCTATTAAAACTTCTGCAAAGGGCAAAAGGGGAGGGGGGACTAATGGGTTATGATTGTTGTAATAAGCAATAAATCCAGTGTCCAGTTACCTTGTCATCATTTTTTTTAGATCCCTTTGTATCTCTTGGCAGTCATTCTTCAGACTTACAATACAATTGGTCCTAAATTTCATCATAAGTCAGAACATTGTAATTTGGAACCGCCCTGTGGTACTGAGCATTGTAAAATCAAAACAAATTCCATAAGTCAAATCAGGGTGCCAATTCAGAACTGTAAGTTCTGTTCATTGTAAGTCAAACATCATAAAGTCAAGGACGGCCTGTATCTTGAATTATTTGTATTGTTTTGCAAATTTTGCCACCGCAGTATTCACCCCCTTTCCAGATCATTTATGTTGAAAAGCACTGGTCCAAAGACAGATCCTTGGGGAAACCTGCTATTTATCTCTCTCCACTGTGAAAATTGACCATTCTCTCTAGTCATTGGTTTCCTGTCTTTTAACCCATTACTAATACATCAGTAGACTTTCCCTCTTATTCCATACTGCTTACTTTGTTTAAGAGTCTGTGGTGAGGGATCTTGGCAAAGGCTTTCTGAAAGTTCAACAACACAGTATCAATTGAATCATCCTTGTCTACATGTTTTTTGACACCTCCCCCAAAGAATTTTACTAGATTGGTGGGCCATGTTTCCCTTTACAAAAGTCATATTACCTCTTCCCCAATAAATTGTGTTAATCTATGCATTGGTTTAGGGATGTGAAAACATCCTTCACAGGTGATGTTTACTGGTTAACCAGTGGGGGCCCTGAGCAGCTCCCTGCCTGCAGGCCTAGCAGATGTCACTACTGGATAAAACTGTTGCAAAATAAATTGGATAGAGAGATGCAGATTAAAATATCAAATGACACAATATTAACTAAGTGCTTTAAGAAGCTGTACTGAAAACATTATATAGAATGCAACGGTATTCTTTAGACAAAAAATCACAATGTAATCCATTGTGAGGGGGTTCGCACTCACCACCGTATCCCCCTGCCGTCTGTCTTCCGGAATTGGCTCCCTTGGCAGGTAGGGTGCCTTCTCTGGGGTGGTGTCTCCCCTCTTTACTCGCGGCTGCAGTGTCCTCTTCGCCACACTGCCCTCCGGCAGTGCCCAAGTCTGTCTCTGAGCCCCCCTTCCGGGGGTTGATGTTCCTTCATCGGGCCTTCCTTCAAGCCCTGCAGTCTGAGGATTTGCGGGCCAGAGCTCCCCTAGCCCTGCCTGGCCTCCCCAGCCCTGCCCTAGCTCCAGGGAGCCTCCTCCTCCCTCAGCAGCCAGGTTCTCACTGCTTTCCCCCACAGCAGCAGCCCATTCTCTATTATAGCGCCCAGCTGGGCCCTAATGGGCTAGTACAGCCTCAGCTGGGCTAAACTCCCCGGCCCTGGTTCAGGCCGGGGTCTGCCCTTAAAGGGCCAGTGCAGGGCGAGCGCCCTGTCACATCCATGTATTAATTCAAATTAAGGATAATTATTTTGTAGTTTAGATATGACCTTAACAAACTTATTTTCTACCTTGTAAATAATTTGTTAACATTTCCTCAAATTTTGTCTGAAACAGAGTTGAGCTCTATATAAAAAGTGACTGTATGATATACTGGTATATTTATAGTGTTCCTTTTTAAAATTGTCTGAGCAAAGAAACTGTAATACAGTCATTTTGACTGTGGCTTTTGTCAAGATAGTGCCTTCTGAAGTTAACTTTATAAAAAGTCTGTTTAAAAAAAAGTATAGGTCATTTTGTTCTATATTAAGAGATGATGTAAGCAGACTTTGGTCCAGTAATATGTGGCTCTGAAGACACCAGCCAATCAGAAAATAAAATTACTGTTAGAAATTGCAGAGTTGTTGACTGGAGTCCCACGACTTGAACTCGAATGTGACTTAAGACTTGAGACTCGACTTGGGTTCATTGTTTGTGACTTGAGACTTGACTTGAGACTTGCTAATTTTGTTAAATTGACTTGGCGAAATAATTGTCCGAAAATGCAGATATTGATGGCTTGTACAAAAGTGACTTGACATTTTTTAAATTAAGACTTGAGCCTCAACTTGGGACTTGACTCGAAAGTGACTTTAGGGACTTGACTTGAGACTTGAACTGTGGTGACTTGAGACTTGACTTGGACTTGACAATGATGACTCGAAGACAACACTGAGAAATTGCATTTGCTATCTCTGTATGTGAGGAATGAGAGGAAATGAATGTAATGTCTTAAAAATCCTGTTTAAAAAGAATCCTTTGCACAAGTTTTAAAATACTTTGATGTATATCTTAAAGTTCAAAAATAATTCCATGAATTTAGAATGACGAAAGTTAGCATACGAGTGCTTCTCAGTGCTTGTGGTAGGGCTTTAATCCAGTTGATTTTAAAATCCAGGAATAAGTTGCCCTGGTGTACATCCATTCCACACTAAAATCGTTGACTTTTGTAGGAACTGATGCATTATAAGTCCTCCCATTCCCCACTGTAAGTCATGTGAAACACTCCCCCCGTTTGCTTAAATCGAAGTCAGACATGGGAAAAAAAAATCCCTGCTTTAAGTTGTTTCGCTATAAGTCCAAGTTTTTTGGAACATATCTTGGACTTGTAGCGAGGACCCGCTATACTCCCCCTGCATGCTGCCTCAGTTTCAGAGGCATCAAGGAAGAGAGCTGGTGAGGTGGGGAGCTGGCTTAAAAGCCAGTTTCCCCCAGCACCATATCTGGGGGCAGTCAGGTGGGGCAGAGGCGCAGCAGGGAAATGGCGCAAGGGGGGACTGAAGCAGTCCCCACTCACCCCGGGTTCTTGCTACATTTCAAAGACAGAGGCACAGAAGTAGGTTTACCTACACCGCAAAAAGCCCTCTGTTCTGTGATTGATTGTAGATTTTCTTGTGCAAAAATGCCCTTGAGGTGTGGACGCTCTGCGGGTTTTTGTGCAAAAACAGCTGTTTTTGTACAAAAGCCTTGTAGTGTAGATGTAGCCACAGCCGGCACCGTGTGTTCAGCTGCCCCTCCCCCTACCTTGCTCCATCCTGCAGGCAAGGATTCTGCTGCTATCTGTGCAGAGCGGGAGAAGGGGTAATGGAGGAGAGAGGGGAGTGCTGAAGTCAGGGTGTTCCTCTACCCCTGTACCCCATCTCTGCAGAGTCAAAGTCCGGGAGAGAGATACACATAGTGGAGCTGCTCCAATCTGAAGCATGGATGGTAAGTGACTCGGAGGAGTCCCCATCTTAAGAGGCAGTGCCCTGTTTCTAAGATTCCAGTGCTCTCTTTCGGTCTCTCACACACGCACTTCCTCCCCACCATGCCCTTTTTCTGCAGAGGAGGGATACAACAGAAGACAGCTTTCTCTGTCTTAAAGAGACAGTGCATAGCTTCTTTCAGAAACTTACACTGTTGCACACGCCCAGTCTTAATACCAACCCTGGTACCTTCCCTTGCAACAAACCCCGTTGCCAGCTTTGTCCACATATTCATTCTGCTGATACCATTATTGGACCTAACCAAGTGAGTTATAAGATCAAGAACACATATTCCTGCGCATCCAGAAATATAATCTATGCTATCATGTGCCGAAAGTGTCCGTCTGCTATGTACATTGGACAAACATCTCAGACACTTCGCCAAAGGATTAATGCCCACAAAACAGATATCAGACAAGATCACAAAGAGAAAACAGTTTCTTGCCACTTTAACCAGAAAGGACACTCTCTAAATGACTTAGCCACCTGCATTCTGCTACAAAGACCTTTTACATCTGCACTTGAAAGGGAATCCTCTGAACTGTCATTCATGTTAAAATTCGACACTTACCACCAGGGACTTAACAAGTCTTTGAACTTTCTCACCCATTATCAAGACAGTTTCCCCAATTATCACCTGTAATACCATTAACTCACAAACATCCCACTCTCCCTACCTCTAATATCATCAATTCACAGACACTTACCTTCCTTCCTCCCCCTTCCCACCCCCCCGCATCCTCCTTCTGTTCTGCAATGTGATTTGTCCTTTTCATATTTGTTCTTTTTTTTAATTGTATCCTTTGGTATATATGGTTGTGACTACTTTCTTCCACTATTTGATCTGAGGAAGTGGGTCTGGCCCACGAAAGCTCATCATCTAATAAACCATCTTGTTAGTCTTTAAAGTGCTACATTGTCCTGCATTTTGTCACACCTTCTTGAGAGCCTGGAGCCAGCCCTTTACTGCATACCAAAATTCATGAAGTGTCTCCCCCCCCTCAAAAATTATTGCTCACCCTGGTCTAGGGTATTTGTAATTATGTTTACCACAGCAACCTTAACTCTGTCCCTTGGCGTATGCATTACAGTAGGATATGTTTGATTGTATTGCTTGATGTCACATATCATTTGCCAAATAATAACTTTTGACCTTCACGGTGTAAATTACACTAATTTTAGACCTATCAAGCTATTTGTTTTATTTTATGTAAGTTTCATAAATTTCATAATTCTTTAATTTCATTAGTTGTCAGAATCAACTGATTAGGTTATAAAATGTTTTACTTCTTCTAGCCATAACACCGTAAAGAAGACACAGAAATCTTTTCTCAATGATTCTATAGACAACGGATGTAACAATGGTACTAATACTGGGACGCAGACTGAATAGAGAGGATAGCGGGGTCCGTGATTCCCCTGCAACCAAACGTAAAGTTTTTGAAATGGACCCAAAGTCCTTATCAGGTCATGAGTTTTTTGACTTCTCTTCAGGATCATCTCATGCTGAAAACATACTCCAGATCTTCAACGAGTTTAGAGACAGCCGCTTGTTCACAGATGTAATTATCTGTGTGGAAGGAAGAGAGTTTCCCTGCCATCGAGCTGTTCTCTCAGCCTGCAGTAGCTATTTCAGAGCTATGTTTTGCAATGATCACAGAGAAAGCAGAGAAATGTTGGTGGAGATCAATGGCATTTTTGCTGAAGCTATGGATTGCTTTTTACAGTATGTGTACACTGGCAAAGTGAAAATCACTACAGAGAATGTGCAATATATCTTTGAAACATCAAGTCTCTTTCAAATTAGTGTTCTGCGTGATGCCTGTGCCAAGTTCCTGGAAGAGCAGTTGGATGCGTGTAACTGTCTGGGAATCCAGCGTTTTGCTGATACGCACTCACTAAAGACACTCTTCACCAAATGCAAGAATTTTGCATTACAGACATTTGAGGATGTTTCTCAGCATGAAGAATTTCTTGAGCTTGGCAAAGATGAGCTCATTGATTATATTTGTAGCGATGAACTGGTGATCAGTAAAGAAGAGATGGTTTTTGAAGCAGTCATGCGCTGGGTTTACCGCTCCGTTGATCTGAGAAGGCCAATGTTACAGGAACTTCTGACACATGTGAGACTTCCTTTATTACATCCTAATTATTTTGTTCAGACAGTGGAAGTGGACCAGCTGATCCAGACATCTCCAGAGTGTTATCAGCTTCTACATGAAGCAAGAAGATACCATATACTTGGAAATGAAATGATGTCCCCAAGAACTAGGCCACGCAGGTGAGAGGATTTTTTACAGTTTTTCTGATATGTCCTAGAACAGTGGTCCCCAACCTTTTCAGTTTGTCGGGCGCCAGGGGGCGTGGCCGTTCGCCCGCCGGGCGCCAGGGGGTGGGGACACTTGCGCGCCCGGGGGCGCCCCCCCCATAGCCGCATGCCCGGGGGCGGGGCCCCCCATAGCCACGCACCCGGGGCCGGGGCCCCCCCATAGCCACGTGCCCGGGGCCAGTGCCCCCTCCAAGCACCACGCAAGCGCCCTAGAAGAACATTATTTTGGTTTACAGAGTTTTTACCTGTTTTTTCTAGTGGGCATGAACTGTAATCAACCAACTGTAACCAATGAAAAGACAAATTTGAAAGTATCTTTTATGTTAATGAATTCTGCATTTATTCTGCCGTAACTTCACCTAAAGCCCAGTTATCTGACATGCTTAACTTTAAGTAGGCCTTTGAATAACTAGAAGAACATTATTTTGGTTTACAGAGTTTTTACCTGTTTTTTCTAGTGGGCATGAACTGTAATCAACCAACTGTAACCAATGAAAAGACAAATTTGAAAGTATCTTTTATGTTAATGAATTCTGCATTTATTCTGCCGTAACTTCACCTAAAGCCCAGTTATCTGACATGCTTAACTTTAAGTAGGCCTTTGAATAACTTTATCCACACATACATGTAATTTTATTGACATGGTTAGTCCCCTTGAATAGGAAGGATTCTTATGTCAGTAAGTTACTCACAGGTGTAAACTAGTCTACCAGTTAAGCCACACACTTGCAGCAGCTTTCATTCTGGCTCATTACAGCACAATCAAATGTACTACATTTAATAATTTATTTAATTGTTATAGTTTTTTAAAATAATAGTGTATTATACACTAATTGGAGGAGTTGGATGTAATTTTTCAGTTAGGGCAATAGCAACTGCTTTTGAGAATTTCACTTTTTCACCACAAAACACTGTACAAGTTTAATAATACAGTTCTAGAATTACATAACAGCTCCAGAGGCGAAATAACAAAACAAATGTAAATATTTACAGAACTACATAGTAGCTACAGAAAATATTTTAAGCTTAAATACTGTAATATGATTTTTAAGTCCTAAAATGTTAATTCTTACTATCCCATAGTATAACTGGAAATAGCTACTGGAAGCTATAGTAGGAAATGAGAAAAAATGTTATGGTAGATTTCTTTTGGATTCTGTCATATACCTTCCCAGGTAATTTCTAAAAATGTTAAACATTAAATGCTTGAAAGAATGATAAGAAGTAAAACTAACCCTGGAAATTCTGCCAAACAAAATAGTATAGGTACTTGAGAAGGTTAATTGATTAGCTGAAATGCTGTAGTGGAGAATTAGTGGAAAAGGGAGACAACACCCACCCAACCCACTGCCCCTGTTTAACATGGACATATTCTAAGCTGGGTTTTTGTAACTAAATTTAGGGAGAAACTAAATACTGCATCCATAGATGCAACAACAGGAAAAGTAGTTTATAAAGAGAGAAGCTGACTGGCTTTCCATTGATGATTTTCCCTTGTATCTATTATTAAATTCAAGGAATAGTTCCTTGTCATTGATTCTGTTGTAAAACTGATAGTGTTGTAATAGTTACCAGATTCCTCTCTGCCCTCTCTATGGCTATGTCTAGACTGCAAGCCTCTTTCAAAAGAGGCTTTTTCGAAAGTATCTTTAGAAAAAGCCTCTTTCGAAAGAGCGCATCTAGACTACAATACGCGGATCGGAAAATCGATCCGCTTTTTCGAAAAAGAGCATCCTGACTGCTGGACGCTCTTTCGAAATTAAAAGCCACCCGGAACCACTTCTGCCAGGGCATGGGGGCAGCAATTTCCTTCCGGGTGCTGCTGCCTGCCCTTTGCAAAGACGCGTGGTTAAAGGGACGCCCCTGAATACCCGTTGCTCTGCTTCTGCAGCTGCCTTTGCTGTCCCTCGAGGAAGTAAGCAAGGCATTGCAGTGCTGCTTTGGAGTGCTCAGCTTCCTGGGACACCCCAGCAGGTTTTTTGTGTGGAGGTTTTTCTGTTTTAGACCCATTTTTTTGGCATGGAGCCAGAGCTGCCCCTGGGCAGGCGATGGCCCCACGCCATCATACTGCAAGTGTTGCTGCATCTGCATGACACAGTCATGAGGCTACTTCCCCATCTGGACCCAGACCAGAGGTACGAAGGGATCGTCC